AAGGTACTAAAATTTACCATAAGAAGTTTACGTATTAATTTATTAATATGGGTACGTAATGGTTTGATACTTTCGAAGCTTAGAATTCGACTAAGGTTTTCCTTTTCTAGAGTTGTAAATAACTTGTATTTTTTATGTGGCCAATCTGATATTGGTGTGTTTGAAAAAATACTGTCCATTAAACATTTTACTACATCCCAGAAAATGTTGTTTTTCTGGATAAGGAAGTACTAAGCAGTTTTTGATTCAGGATATTAGGACATAATAAAGCAGCAGTTTGATTGTGTACCATTTGAAATTGTGTTTGAATAAAATAGTCAGGTAATTTAAATAAGTTTGACAATGGTTCTTTTGAATTTTCTCTTATTTTTATTTCAAGTAATAAGTTTGGAGCTACCAAAAAGCATCAGGATTTGGGTGCGGATTCACAACTTTTTCGTAAGTCCAAAATTTGCGTAAAGTTTGCGTAAGTTTTGCTTCGGTTCAAAGTTAGCAGTCATATTCACAAACCTTGCGTAAGCAAAAATTAACGAAATTCTTAAGTTTTTACGTAAGTTATTACTTACGCAAAAAGACTAAAAAACGGTATTCACAAAATTTTTGTTCTGATTTAATCAATACTTGCTCTGTCAATGAGTCAAACTTTGTTATACTGCACATGCCTGATACACAGAATTAACTTTACTCTATCCAGCAAATATAAGAATAATGTTTTTATTCGGAAAATGGTACCATAAATTATCAATCTGAAATATCACTGAAAAAAACTAATAAAAAAAAAGTGGATTTTAATTCAAACTCAACTTTTATTAATTGTGTTAATACAACTGAAACTGTACGCATGGAAGTTACAAATGTAGATTTATATTAATAAGATAGTCAACCAGCAATAATATATTTTTCATAATATGTTGTGGAAAAGTTGTTGAACTTTTGTTTATGTTTTCAAAATATTTCTGACAATTTGAATTTTGCTTATAATTAGTTTTGGTTTATTTTTGCTTAAAAATAAACTAAAATACAATCAATAGTATTTCTTGAATTTATAGAAGCAATTTCTTTATTAAATGAAACTTTTTAACTATTTAATGAAAAATAATTCAAATCTAAGTAAATGTAAGCCCTGACTCTAAAAAAAGATGCATTGACTGTTCGTTTACTTTGCTCTGTATGTCTTAATAAAAAAAGATTTAGTAATATCAACTATTTTCTTTATACAAATAGTTATAAAATATTTGCCTCAAATTTTGCTTAAGTTTTTGCCTAAGTTTTGCGTAACTCATGCGCAACCTTAACTTTACGCAAATGTTGCAAAAAAGTTGTGAATACCAAATAGTTACGCAAAAAGTAATTTGGGTAAGTTTATCGTAACTTTTGTTTAACTACGCAAGAGTTACGCAAAAATTGTGAATCCGCACCTTGAACCGTATGTTTCATCTTCCGTTAAAGTAAAAAAACCACATGCGTAGCATTAGATAGCATTAGGTTTGGAAAAAATAACAGTGTTTAATTTTCAAACTGGTGTTTCATTTTAAGAATATCTCTTTTGAATTTTGAATTTTCTGGGTTGTTCATTCATATTGTTCTCTGCAACAATAATTTTTTCCTCATGTACGTTTTTCTTTTTCTTTTTGACGGTTAGAACCATAGGTATTGAACCTTTTTTACTAACTTTTTTACAACGTCGTTTTTGAAGTTGTTAGTTACAAGTAAGGGATAACATTTTTTCTTTTGTTTTATAAAAGTGTTTTAAAAATAATAACAATGCAAGAACATGGCAACATAGCCCACTGACACCAACAGGACGAGCAGGACGAATTTGTTCTCCGTAAGATTTTTTAATAAGTCCTCTAACAAACAACGTATCAGATGAGCTAAAATCTGTTAAAGTTTTAACAGTCACAATTTTTCTGCTTGTTAAAATAATATATCCTTTTTGTTTTAATATAATGATATCATCCATTGTATTTTATTTTCAAAAAACAGATATACAATATTTATATGTTATAAATACGTATTAATTTATCCCCTATAGAGATTTCACTGAAATCTCATACCCCGAAACTACCCCTTATGAAAGTCCCTAATTGATAAATCAATTCTTTAGTAGCCGTTTTTTAAGAATACAAACACGACTAAAACTCTCAGTCGATATACTTACATTTAATTTCCCAATGAGATTTTTTGTGCGTAGCGACCGAAAAATTCCATAAAAGGTAAAAATTATACCCAACGCCAAACTAATAAAACATGCATAATACTAATATTAGCAAAATGAAAAGCCACTTGCTTTATGTGACCCCAACCATAACACTTCAGTGAGCTGACAAAACGTTTATAACTAAATAAACATAAGGCATCTAACTAATGAATAATCTACAGTGGCGCAACATAATGCCAACGTTGGCCAAAAGTGCAGCCAATCATATGCTAACCCAAAGTCAAAATACGGCTAACTATAATGCTTCGTTGACAAAACAAAAAAATGTGTAGGTGCATATAAATGTGTTACTCGGAATAGTTCTAATGAGAATCAGGAAACCGTAAAACGAAATTGGGTTCAATTGACCTTAAATGCATTATGGTATTTTTATATACGCGGAAGTAAACAACTAAAATAAGTCGAGTAAAATGTCAAATATTGAAAGAACTATATGTTCTTTCAATATTTGACTGAGATTGTCCCAATAGATTTTAGTGTATTTTATTTGCCACCTTTTTAATTTTGTAGTTCAAATTTTAAAAACTATATTATTTGAGTAAACTTTGCACTATATAAAACTTCGAAGAAAAGATAGCAACAAGAGCACCAAACAATGTTTTGGTGCTTTTCAACTTTTCAACTATAAAACAAACAACAACAAAAAAAGAAGTTGGGATTTTACATATTGTGCACCTAAATGCTTTAGGAACTAATTAAAACAAAAAAATTTATTATTTTACGCAATTCCCAATAAAGAAAATATTAAAGAATATATTAAAATAAAATTAGAATATATTAAAAGAAAATATTAAAGAATAAAATAAATATTAATTTCTTATAATAACTTTTACATCCTTTTAAATATTTTTTTAATCATAAACTGAAAATAAAATATATTTAAACAAGGTAAAATCCTATTGAACCAGTTTTCATTTCAAATTTAATTGATTGCATAAAAAGTCTTCATTTTTGTATAGAGCAAAGTCAATATCACCCTTTTCTGTAAAAGCTTTGATACTTTGACATTCCTAAAATTAACTGTTTGATTTTTAGTTTTTGCTGTCTTTTACTATTTCTATACAAAAAGTTTTATTGGTACAAGCGTTTTTTTTACACAAAGATTTATTTTTTAAAAAGAGCACTTTACTTCAATCATTTTGCAGCTTTCTTAATATACAACTAATCAAGGAATTTAGGATTTATAACAAGATCACATTTTTTAGCATCAAAGTTAACTTTTTCTTTAAACTTTTAATGAGCAATATCTGCATATTCAATACTTCACTGACAAGCTTGTGATAGTAAACTAATATAACAGTTTTTTATAAGCTTTTTTAACAATGCAGTTGGAGTAGTAATATTTCTATGGTTTATAACGGCACTAAAATTTGATGCAGTAAGTTTTTTATTTTGTTCTTCAATCCATTTTTGTATTGATCTTTAGTTTTTGATTTAACTTGAACTATTTTCTCAACATTGATTAACACTATGGCAAGCTTTAATTTTCATTAATCAAACTAGTTTTAATTAAATGGTCCATACAATGTAGAAATTTTTCCATTATAACAAGGCTTAAATTTTTCAACATTTTTTCATTTACTTGTTAATAAATATTTCACAAAAATGATTTTGGCCAAATTTAATTTCAATGATTAACACAACGATTGTCTTTTCTTGGTTTAATTCTATATAAAATATTTGGTTTAATCTAATATATTTTATATAGTTCTCTTTTAATAACTGATAATCAGCAATTTTATGCTTAGCAGCTTTTCTTTCAAAATATCGTCTAATATTATATAAGTAAATATATGTTGATGTGTTGTCTTTTGACCATTATGTTACATCTTTAGACATTGTTTTGTTTTCATCACTATTAAATTCCTCGTTTGTAATTGTACAAAATGTAGCATTTAGTGGAATTATGCTAGGACTTTTATAAAAGCTAGAACCAGTAGGAATATTAATAGAGTTAATTATAAATTCTTTTACTTTTGTATACTTGTAAAATATACTTCGAACAAGCTTTTCTAATGAAATTCAATTGTAAAAGATTTTGGAGTAAATATAATTGATTATAAGAGAGAAAACTATCTATGTACGAGCAAGCCACGAAAAGGTCAGGGTAACAATAATATAATAATAATATCTAATAACATCTGTCCAACAACATACGAAATTTCATTGATCTATAATAACATCCGTTTCGATTTTTGCGGATGTCATCCGAAAATTTTTTTTTTTAATAATGCATTATTTTAACCAGATGAAGTTACACATCTGATTTTTTCCGGATGTAACTTCATCCGGGAAAAAAATAATTTAAAATGCATTTTTGTAACAAGATTTACATCTGGTTTACACATCTGATTTTTTTTGGATGTAATTACACATCAAATTTTTTTCGGATGTAACTACGGCCGGAAATTTATTTTATTTAATAATGCATTATTTTAGGCGGATGTAGTTACATATCGAAATGTAGTTACATCTTACTAAAGATGTTATTAGACATCAATGAAATTTTGGATGTTGTTGGAAAGATGTTTCAATAAAGAAAAAAATTCAGTAAAGAAAAAAAGCGGATGATTTTGGAAAAAAATGGCGGATGTTATTTCACTACTTCACGGATGCTGTTGGACAGATGTAGTAATCTTTTCCCCACGAAATAATGAAAAACTAAAAAAACTATGAATTGGGAGTTCTTGATTTTTCTGTACATACAAATACTATAATGCAATACGTGAAATAATAATAAGGGAAAAGGTGAATTGACCGATATCAATGATTAGGCACATTTTAATTAAACTCTTTATTCACTGATATTTCGACAATAATTTATAGTCTCATAAAAATAAAAATAAATTAAAAATAATAATAAAAAACGCGAGAAAGCCACTAGGATTTACGACAATTAAAATAACAATCGTAAATCTAAAAGGTATTAACAATATAAAGATTTCGACTGCTCTATTTACATAAAGTTTACGCATCAATTTTAAAACTATTTATCTGTCAACAATATTTGCCCGCTGGTATGTACATTCGATCCATCTGATTCAATTCTGCACTTAGGTTTATGAGCCAGCCAGTCTTTTTGCTGACAAAAAGCGCCACAGTAATAAACACGGTAGCATCCTGTACATTCCAAAAAAGCATCACGACTACAATTTTGGCAGATCTATAATATAAATCGAAGACATTTTAGATAGGTGTATATAGATATTATAAATTGAAAGAAATAGCAAAAAGAAATGAAAATATTAGATACAGAAACGTTGTAGAAAACGTCGAGATTTTAATAGCAACGGCGCATGTGGGGCACAGAAAACCTATATATACCTATAACTTTAATGTTTATTTTAATTTTTCTACACAACAAAAAAATTCAAAACCAATGAAACACCGTTCTCAATTTTGTAAAAATTGTTTAAACATTTTATGACAAAAGAATAAATAACATGCTAGTATGTTACCCAATCAAAAACAAACAAAACAATACATTTCTTAACACCTTGTATTATTTTATATATTTTTTGAAAAGAAAATTTTTTATTTAAACTAATTTTATTTTATAAACATTCTTGGTTCGCATATTTATTTCAAATTTCAATATAAAATCCATTCTTGGTTCGCGTATTTCAAATTTCAAAATAAAATTCAGTGATCCAGGAATTTTAAGTGGTGGTGGTGGATGTTGAAATACTTTTGTATTTTGTATCACATTTGCATCTAGGGTTCGGACTATTGTAATTGTAATGAAAACAATAACAGAAACAATAACTATTGTTATTCTATTAACTTTTTTAGAAACAATAACAATATTTGTGATTGACAATTATT